AATGTAAATGATACAAAAAAACCAAGTAAATACATTTTATGCAAAAAATGAGGTATCATAAGACATCGTATGAAAAAACTACCCGAAAAAAATTGTAAGTTACTGAGGGCATCTAATGTGTAGAATAATGCTTATAGAATATCCATTTTTTCTGACTTTCCAAATCTCTAATCCTTCAAAATTAACAGCAAAATTGATTTTAAACAAGTCAATTATTGAATATAATTTAAAATTAGGCAATGGAGGGTGTCAAACAGAATCGCGCGCGCCGCCCCGCCGGCCGCGACCTCGCCGAGCCTCCCAGCGAACACGACGAGGTTAGGATCGTGCCTTAGGTCTCTGTTTGTGTCTGTCTGTCCGTCTGGAGTAGCGTGCTATACGCAATCGCTTATCGGTAGTTAACGTCAATGGGAACCTGCGGCTATTTCACACGAGGGCGCAATAAAACACATTATAACTCAAAACATTTATGCACAATTTCAATGTACAGTAGTGGAATTTGACGGTGTTTCACCTCTAAGGCTAAAGCGGTTTGAAAGTTTTGTACACATTGAGATAACCAATAAGACGCTTTTAAATACGAGTCTGTGAAAAAGGTTGTTCAATTTACATGGTTAATTGCTTTCTATTACTCAACTCACTGCTACCTGATTGTTTCTTTGTAAGTAAAAGCGGCGTTTGTTTCCTTCCAAGAAACAATAATTCTGTAAGTGGAACACTGCGGATTTCCACGACTGTACAAAATGCATTAAGACACTGCTCAGCTCTCGTGTGAAACATTGTGAACGGTGCAAGGCTTTCAAACGAATCTATAGTACTCACATTTTCTTTAGGCAAAAGAATTCCACGCAAAAATTAAAACTAATGTTTTGTTTTCTTAAATTATTAAGCACATTGTTGACCTTTTTTGTATTAATATGGCTTTAATGTTTTTCAATGTTACTGCAATAGAAAATTGAAATAACTTTTGCTAAAATGCTTTACAATCTTGAATCACACTAAAATAAGCGGAACAAAGTTAGCTTTGCTTTCGTAATGAATGAAGTCAAATCATTTAAAATGCTAACACTCTCAATGCTTCACACTCGGTCTGCGAATTTAGGAAGTCAGTGGCATTGATAGTGTTAAAATTCATTCACAAATAACGTTTCGTTCCACCAGTTAAGTTTTACATTTCTCGGGTGTTTTAAATGAAATGCGTTTAGGTTTTTTTTATTTTATTTTTTTTATATAATTTTGCTAATCATTGAATCACCTATCGATCATAAATGTACAAACATATGTTTATAGAGTTCTTCAACAAATTGTACTAGTCATTGCCAACGTATTGAAAATGTATAATTTTTTTTATTTTATTTCAAATTAACAATGTACTAATATTTAACACAAGCACAATCATGGTTTGGGAACTTTTTTGTTTGTTATTTTTGTCTCCTTATCTAATTTATGTATTTTTTTCACCTTTTGTAATTCCATTACATCAATGAATTGCTTTATTGTGTATACGTTTATGTAATTATCGTATAAACACGCAGTATGTGATTATTTGCACAATTTTGATTTTGTTTTTTTTTTCGTTTCATTTAAATTCTAGGGCACGAATCAAGCGAGCGAGCCGCGTATGAACCTTAAATCGAAACTGTTCAATGCGCTAGGTATCAACACGGGCAGTAGCGCACCGCACCAATAGACTAAGACCTAACCTAGGATTTAATTTAAGTAATCACTCGCTTTCAGTGATGTCTCTCAGAGGCTTCAGATTTTGTTCTGTATTTCGCTCATAGAAGACATCACATAATCACTGACCGCCATCTTGCGTTTTATAGCGCCTTTTATAATCTGTAATGCGTTAAGCATTTTTAATCTTTGGCACATTTTACGCAAAATGGCGGGCTACGTAGCTTAGTATTTATTAGCATGCTCTAAGTTTAATTATAAAATATCAAAAAAAGATGTTATGTTACAAAATTATGATGTGTGATAGAGAATTTTTATGTATGTGAACCGTCCTTACAGAATTATTGAATTAATTTCATATTTCAAATTATTTTTACGATCATGACAAAATAATTTATAGGCGGGCAACATTTTGTTTTATATCGATTCAATTTCCAGTGCAATTTTATTCCATTGAAAGTACTCATAAGTGAAATAGAGCATTTATAATAAAAAAAACATTTTTTTATATTTATTATTCAAATTATAAGGCGAAATAATTGCATTTATTACATGTTTTATTTTATGTTTGAACGATGTGCATGTCTCAACAACGATTATTCGCTTTGTATAAAAATATTAATTTTATTATTTAGATTGCATGATTTTAATTTTTATTATTGAGAATGTTCATTTATTTTATCTGTTTACCTGAGTCTTTTAATTATTTCATTTTCATTATATCAATAATGATTCATTCCAGTGGTAGAGTATGTATGGTAAGCTTTGCATAAGACTTTAGGTGATAAATTAATATAATATTTTTATATACATTGATTTTATTTTGTATGTCGGTGCTTGAGTGTTTGTTTTAGCATTTTTTATTATGAAAACAGAATTTTTATTGATGGTAACACTTAACGGAATCTGATAGTCAATGTATACGAATCTCCATTGTATCCCGAACTGCGCAACAGTTATTTTGCAATTTTTAATTATTTTTCATCACGACACCGCGTCGTACAATGGTAACTTTAATTGTTAAATAAATATTTATGTAACATTGGGTTTTTGTTTCATTTTCTTTTCAAGCTTTTCAACGAGTCTAGTTTATATTATTTTTAACACAACATTAACATAACCACACCACAAACATTTTAGTTATCGTTTCAATTATAAGTGCAGATGTATGACGCATTTTAGGTTAGCTTTTTCGACATTTCGCGCCACAGATTTAAATGTCAATTTTTTGTCAAAAGTCAATATCTATACAGCCACAAATGTAGTTCCGATTTTAGTAAAAATATTAAAGAAAACTAAAATTATCAGCTGGTTTGACTAGTTTTATACAATCTTATTTTTTATAATTCATGTGGTTGGAATATCACCTCTAATGCTGATTACATTTATAAAAATTGTAATCAATGTAGTAACCAGTGCATATAGTAAATTGATAAAACAAATATGAAAGAGTATAAACCGCGTAAGACGCGCGCGGCAGGGCGCGGGCGCGGTGTCCCGCAGCCCGAGTTTCTCGAAAGTTCGCACATCACGTCGCTCCGCGCGCTTGTTGCGTCGCCTCGTGGCGCGCCATTCGGAGCACCTGCCCGATGATGACGTCACCGACTCTGACAGGTAACAGATTATACACAACACAGATAAACACAACAGATGTTTTTTTTTTGTTTATAAGGTTTAGTTTTTTTTTAATAATCCAGTTGGCACATATACTAATTGTGAACGAAGAAATTAACTAGGTTACAATTAAGGGATAATTTATTTTCAATTAGCAATGAAAAGATAAAAACAAGCAATGATATCCTAAGAAGTTTTTTCATCTCGAGAGCTTAATATCAAAAAGTGTCTATGTATAGTATTGAACCTTGCTTACGCCTAAATCTAAGCCTCCGACGAAAAGAGTTACATCTTGTATGGAAATTCCTACACTATATGTAACTCTTTTCGTCGGAAAGGTCTAAATGTTATTCGCCTGAGGACTGGCTTATTGCTTATTTCTGTCCTCAAACTTATATTACAAATTTTGGTAGATAATACAATCCTACGTCCTATGGGATGGTTCAAAGGTGTTTCTAAATGTTCTGTAAAACTGCAATTTTATTTCTTGTCCAAAATCTAAACCAAATATTGTACAAATGAACAATTGTGGGATATTAAGGACGTTCATAACTTGCAACTAAAAACACTTCATGGAATAAAAAAAAATCAAACTTAATGATAAGGCCGAAAATAACTACTAATAAAAAAAACACCATAGACTATATATTTTTCTGTCATTTCAATATTGACAAGTTAGTATTATGTCATTTGATAAATAGAAAAATTTCAATGTATTTAGCATGAAGCGCGCAAGATCCCTGTGCGAGCTCAGTAAGGCGTCAACACAGCGGCCGGCGATGCGGTAACATTACTTGCTAGATAATATATTACTCTGATAGTCACCATTCTACGTATTTCAGTGATCTGCGTTAAGGCCGCCATACACGGACTGCTTTTCAGTATCATTCAGTTGGCATTCCATACACGTGCCGAATTCGGACTATCAAAAAAATAGGACAGTTCTTACGTAGTCCGCGTTTGGTCGTCATAAGGTCAAATCATATAAGCCCTATCTTAAGACATTTTAAGTCTATTCTAAGCTTATAACTTTTAGGTTTTAGTTAATTTTTGACAAGAGATAATGTTTTTACATTCTAAAGTAAAGACTCGAAATTCATTTTAATTGTACTTTATTTTTTAAGTATATAATTAGTAAAGTAATGTATATTTACTTGCAGGCTTAACAAGATATAAAACCGATAGCTTATCAAATCAGCTTATATAAATGTAAGAAATTAAGAAAAACAAACTTTCAAAACAATGTTACAAAATCATTAGCGTAACATGCTTAAAAACAAATTATTTAAGAAGATTTTTTTATCTGTAGAAAACTAGATACACTATGCTTTAGCTTAATTTAATATAATAGCCTATATTTTAGATTAAAAATTTTGTAAGCAATGGTTTCAGTCAATGTGCTGTTCATTATAAAGATAAATCCGCATCTTGCTTTATTAGTTGTACAAAAAAGTAAAAAGAATTCAAAAAAAAGACGAAGCTGTAAGCTATTATTCCCTTTATATAATTAATAGACACTAAAATATTTTTTCTAAATCGCTTTCTTGTCTATTGAAAGGCAAAAAAATCCATAGACTATTATTAAAAAAAAAGTAAGACATTTTGAAATCCCGCGACAAGAAAGATCAATTCACGCATATTTTATGTAAATTAAAAAATACTATTTTGCATTATATTTTTGGTAGAGTAAAAAAATAATATGGAATTGACATTAGTGGCATAATTGATCATAAATTGTATTTTCCTGTATTATTTAAAATAAAGTATTTTAAGGAAACCTGGCATTTTATTTATCAAATAACCTATATTCATTTATATTTAGGAAAATTACTGACATACTAAGATTTCTAACAAGTCAGGTAAAGGAATAGTTGTCGCCCGCTACTCCGTCCGCGAGAGATAAGACTATGTTCTACATCCAAGCCAAATTTCAGCAAGATTCGATAAGACGTTTTGACGTTAAGACATCCATCTAAACTTTCATATCATATATCTTACTAATATTATACATGCGTAAGTTTAGATGGATGTTTGTTAGAGTTTGTAGCCTAAACAGCTGAACGGATCTCGATTAAATTTTGCTGGATTAGATGTAGAGCATAGTCTTGAAGAACACATAGGCTACTCATTTTTTGTTTTTTTATTCCATTTAGACGGAGTCGCGGGTTTATAATATTAGTAAGATATCTAAATGTTATCTTAACTGTATGTATGTCGAAACATAGCCTAAATATGTGACAGATATATAATGAAGTGGCGGACGATAAACAAGCGGGGCCCGACTTTAAACGTGTCTGCTAATCTCATCAGAGCGGACACAACTGTGGCTGTTGTAGGGTTGTCAAAATAAAGAAAAGTACTTAATTTTTTCTATGAACCCCACTTAGTTTATGTTAATGTTAGTAAACGATTATAGTCTGTCCCTTGATTGAACAATTTAATCTTTCTAAACTTCTTGCATCAAGCTTGACTTGCTTTATGGCGTGAATAAAATATTTAATACGGAATCTGAGTGTCTTTTTTAATTTACTTTTTGTGAAAATGAACGCAATGGAATATTTTATAAAAAGTGACAACCCTATCTATATACAAAAGATGTAATGACGAAATTCTGAACAGGTCATTAATAACATATAATTATGTGTTAAAAGTCATATAAAAATGATGTAAGTTTTGGTGGTCTTAAACTCTTACAGCCTTACGAATAAAGGCGGTATAAATTTAAACTTAGGAATTTATTATTTATTGATTATAAGCAAATATTTGTACAATTTTTTATCATATTCAGTTCATTCCTAAGTTTAATACCGCCATATTTGTAAGGCTGTTAAAGCTTGGGACATAAAACTAGTCACTACAATAGAAAACAGTGGCAAGTACTAGGCATTTAGAAAAAAGTGCCCACTACAGGTATTGGGCATGCATAAATTGTCAATATAGTTTTAACAAGGGCCATGACATCAACTCCCTTACTGATTTCTGATAACACGTGCGTAAAAAAAGCAGATAAGTTAAAAAATACGATGTCGTTCGTAACTCGTCGAACATCACAGCTGCCAAAATATTGACTCATACGAGTCAAAACTGTATTGAAAATATTTATTACTAGCGGTTGCTCGCGACTTCGCCCTCGTGAATCATAAAAATATAACCTGTCTTACTAACTGATAACGTAGCTTTTTAATGGTGATAGATTTTTTGAAATCGGTCTAGTAGTTTTTAAGTTATTTCAATACATACAAAAATGAGAATCTTTTCTCTTTATAATATTAGTATAGAGATTGGTATAGGACATACATTCATGTTTTAATATGTATTCATCAACGGTAAGTGACTCATAGCAAGACTTCGTATCTTTAAAAACTAATCAACTAAAATCCGAGCGCTGAAATTTCAAAAGTTGAGTTGATCAACAACACCCATAGATTCCAATTTTAGAGAAAATCCCAGAGTGGCTCCATCGTGCCGGTCGGCGACTGGGTGAGAGGACCCGATGGCGATCTCTGGGGGGGTTCGGGCGACCCCGCAGTCTCCGTGTCAAGCTCCCATCGGCATGGCATTCCTAACTGTGTCATTGGGTCGTCGTCGCATTGCCTCGCTCAACTTCCTTCCTCCACTTCACTCCTTCTACATGGCCATGAAAAAGAAAAGAAACTATAGGGGCGTTGTCGGTTTATGAAATGTTGGCTTCTTACAGCCTTACAAATAAACGCGGTATAAAGTTTAACTTAAGAATAAACTGAGTATAAGCAAAATTTGTATTATATTATATTACTAATATTTACTTATAGTCAGTTTATTCCTAAGTTTAACTTTATACCGCATTTATTTGAAAACCTGTTAAAGTTTGTTAGATAATTGCATAATCATTGACGAATATAATAAAAATCTTATCTTTAATCTGTAATTTCTACATTTTAAATATTAATAATCTTTATTGATATTTATATAAGGGTCGCCAGCAATCTTTCCGGACAGCAATCATGTCATTCAGCATCCGATGTGTAGGGTGGCCGTGAGAACGTCGTGACATCTCCCGGGGGATTTCGCCAAACATCCCTAAATAACACATTAAACTTCTACTTTCTCACTTAAATCATTCAATTATCATTTAAATAAATATAATTACATGTAAAATGTGAAATGAAACACCAATGTCTAAATAAGTAAGGGTACGGAAAACGATGTGGTCTGGGTACAAATCCCACCAAGCCGTCCTTGTGATATATTCTAGCACATCCCAAGAGATTATTTGCAATGCTTACACGTAAATAGTAAACTAACAAAACCGCTAATTAATAGGTTAATAGTTTTTACTCAAGTAACTGAGGTGTCATGATTTTTTATTATTTTTTATAACTATGTACTATATACTATGTTTCAAAACTTTATTTTATTAATAGTCTGATTTGTTTTTATGCGGTAAATTTCAAAATACAGTTGTTTGAAGCGTAAGCATTAATTATGACCCCTAATGACTTTAGTCTCCGCCCAACAGCTAGGCCCCGCCTTGTCATATGCAACCGCGCATCATCTTTGAATATTGTCCAGTCTTCATTCAAACGTATTACGAAAGCTTTGTTTAATAAATTTGTTCAAGAAACTTTGATAGCTGTTATAACAAAGAAAACTTTTAAGAATTTATTAATAATGAAAGGCGTATATTTTTAATGTAATTTATTTAGAAATATTATAATTTAGTTAACAATGGATTTCGTGAAAGCCAATTTTTGCATACAAGATAGTGAACTAATAAACCATGAGGATGGTTTCTTCGAACACGGCTTTTACCAAGAATCTATTAATCCAGAGGTCCTTCCTGGTTACTTGCCGATGTTCTATGAGTACAGGAGTGAGAGGATCGAGGGTCAGGATATGGGGATGGCTGAGGATTGGGAGTGGCGGCAGTGGGAGAGCCAGGTTTGCGTGAAGCAGGAGGAAGCCAGAACGACGTCGAGTCTTAGTGAAGAAGGTAATATTAAATTTGTTTTGTTTTCTAACTTAGATATTCAATATGATTTGACAAGATAAGTGACCACTTCGTTAATATTAGATATTCCCATATTGTATACTTTCGTAGATTACTTACATTTTCTTTGCTTACGTGGACGTGAACACTTTACTTATTGTACTTACGCTTAACTTCATTTCCAGCTATTGTACACTTTTTCCGTGCCTTTCGTGGACCCAAGGGGATGATCTCGACTGCTTTAGGAATCTTTGGTTAACCATACGAAAGTTAGCAATAATTTTCTATCGCTAAAATTTATACCTGTATAATCTTACTCTTACTAATTTTAAATGCGAAAGTTTGGATGAATGGTTGGATGTTTGTTAGAGTTTGTAGCGTAAACGGCTGAACGGATCTCGATGAAATTTGGTATAGACGTAGAGGGTAGTATGAAAGGCTACTTACTTTTGTTTTTTTTAATTCCACGCGCACGAAGTCGCGGTCGAAAGCTAGTCTACTATTTCGTAGTTTCTTCTATAACGACCTATTAATGCCTTTTACATTTCTTCCGTCGTTCTGTCAAGCAATAAACAATGATATCAGTAACAATAACACGGGTTTCCTTTACGACTGCAACGCGATTCCGCGCAGTAAATCGCTCGTAAAACCCACCTGTGGGAGGAAAATCGTAAAACAAACGACAAACAACTGCAACGGCGCCGGCGCCTGCCATCTGATAAACTTTAAACGTACTCGGTTATGTAGATGAAAGATTCAATTTACTTGTATGGAAATCACAAATTGGAGATTCGTTTTAGCCCTTGTTTGATTTTAATTGATAATCAAATTTAAGTTCTTAATTTCCAGGAGTTTAAAAGAATGTGGATAGCGCTGTATAGCTTCTTCACGATTTTTTTAAACTCAAAATTGTTTGCAATTTTGGGCGCTAGATGGCGCTGTTTTTAAAATGTGTTAAACTAAGTATATCGTCCGGTTCACATTTGGTCATTACAATTGCGACCGCCAGTCATAGCATGTATGGACCCACTGCTACCAGTTAGCGTTCACACTGACCAACTCTACTGGTTAAGAGTAAACCGCGCATATTTTCCATTAATCTTCCAGACGGGCGGTCGTCAGGTCGCAAGGAGCGCACGGCGTTTACAAAAGCGCAAATCCGCAGTTTGGAGGCGGAGTTTTCCCGCGCAAACTACTTGACGCGTTTGCGACGCTATGAGATTGCTGTTGCACTTCATCTGACAGAGAGACAGGTACACTTTTAGATAGGCTATGAAGTAGGAGCGGGTATAATTTCTGCATATGTTAGCCGAGAAAATTATATTTTTATATGCTTACAATAAAGGGCACCAGTGAAATTATTGAAGTTAAAAGGACATAGTGTATTAATTAGATTTTTTAGCGATGTCGTTGTATTCTTTAAAGTAATTTTTATTTCAGGTGAAGGTGTGGTTTCAAAATAGACGTATGAAGTGGAAGAGAACAAAGGGTGTTACGAAACACGCTAAAAAGAAAGAATAATTTATAAAGCCGTATTCTTCCTACTCTGGATCAAGGGCGGATCCAGCTATGGCGCCAGGGATGTCACATGTCATAGGGGTCATGACCTCCTGACCCCCCCTGGTTCCGCCCTTGCTCTGGATGTAGAATAATTATGAAATTTAAGACATTTAAAACATATGAATATATTATTAACATTGTATGTAGTTTATTTTTAAGATAGTGTTGTTATTCACAGAATTTTCTATTTCCGAAGACATTTTTCGTCTGTATGTAAAAAACTAGCGCTTTATTTCAACGTTCCGTATATATGTATGTAATTTTGATTATTTTAAGTATAGAAATTGTAAATTAATGACAATAAACGTATTATGATTCTCTAAATGGCCTTTTCATATTTGCAATTTTTCAAATTCCATAAAGCTGTACAATTAAATGATAAAAAAACCTTTTGAATATCTACCTCTTTCCCTTTACATTACATTCTGTTAAGTCAGAAAACGTAGGTATTATCATGATAATTATTTAAGTAACAGTAGGATTTCATTGTCAAATCAATTGATTCTAGTTTTTTTAAAGAAAAATGCTTCTAAAAGTGTTATGTTTAAACTAGTTTTTAATGTAAGCCGTTATTTTACAGAAAGTATATCGGTTTCTTGGTTATAAGGCAGGTATAGTCTATCCAAGAACATCAAAATTTTAACCGTTTTATTGTTCTAATTACATCTCTCGTAGACTTATTTCTCCACCAAAGTGAACGGCAAGGGTTTTTACTTTTTATTTTATACTGGTTAGACATATCGAAGAGACGAAATAAAAATACATAATCAAGAGATAAGGATATGTTTATTAGACAAATTACCTCGAACTAAATGATATTTTAAACTAACACTCTATCTTTGGAAGAAACTAAACATCGGGATCGTGTCCGCGGAGCGGCATCTGGCGGGAACAAATCGAAACTCTGATACTTCCAAATACCTTAAATACGTTTTATAACAATTTCAAGCATCAAGGCGTTGTTTTCCGAAACATCGAGTATATAAGATATATTTTACATTCCTACACTATTTCCGATACAAAACTTAACACATGATATTACAACAAATATAAATTGTTTACAAAAATAGCGCATTTTAGCGATTATATACTATTTTTATGTTTTAACAGCTGATACATATGGATTATTGTTGAGGTTAACTTTTGCATATCCTCTGATTTACAGAAATAGACCTTAGAGAGAAAGACTGAAGTATCATAATTGCGTGCATGATGCAATTAAGCAGAAAATGCAAAA